TCGTCTATATATTATTTCCCAATATAATAATAAATAAACATATAATTATGAAACTTAATGTTAATATAAAAAAATTAATTTAAAATTAATTGGATATGAGAAAAATTTAATTTAAATTTAAATTAATTTAATTTTAAAATAATGTTAATAAATAATTTAATTAATTCAAATTTAAGTAACTAATTTTAAACATAACTATTACGATATTATTAATGATATATATTTATAATTCAATTTTAAGAATTAATTTAGAATAATTCATCTATGTTATTTTATATTTCAGATAATTTAAATTTTCTTGCGACGTTGCGGTGTTATGTAACGATTTTTGACTACAACAATCGTGATGCGGTTTTCTTATCGCGTTGCGCCGCAGTAACCTTAAAAAATGTTACGATCAAAAACGTTACGATGCAGGCGTTACGCTGCGTTGCGGCCGCAATTTAGTACTATGGATATCACATCATCAAAATAACTAAAAATCTATTTATTGATATTAATGTACACAAGAAAAAAAAAAAGCAAGTTGGAAAAGTTGTTAAATTGAAGGACTAAAAGTTGACTTATCTCTAATGCGTATGGTGCGAAAAGTTTACAAATTGGTTCCTATTGAATTGGACGATAATTAAATAAGCGTGTAAATGAAATGTTACTTATTTAAAAATTCATGACTAAATAATTCATTAAAATGTTGTGTTTCAGATATTGAGAACTATTCTGCAGAAGAAGTTATATCCACAAAACCCTAGTCCGAGCAAGAAATCCTTGGAGAGCAGCCGTACAGCCAAGATCGCTAATGGAGATGGAAAGGCAGATGAGTGAAGTAAATGGGTAAAAACAGATTCCGAATGTAAGTTCATTACTATAGTAAATAACAGATGTAAATTTAATTCAACAACAAATTTAAAAAATTATATTAAAAATTTAGAAGTATGAAATTATATTATCAATAAAAAAATATAAAATTTATGTTATTTTCATTGATTTAATTATAAATATTTGACTTCAGTCTGTTATTTGCATTGCATATATTGTTTTGGAAATATAAGTGTTTTGTCATGAGTGGGAGGTGACCTAGCATCCACCCCCGTTTTTCATTTTTGTCTTTGATTTGTATGATTATTGTGAAGTGGTATTCTAATTCTGTCCCCATTACGATTGGACAAGATTCAAGGTAGAACGATGAAGTTTAGAATATAAAGTGTTGTAGCTGAACTTCGTTTCCATGCAAACCATGAAGTGAATCTCATAGGTTTATGGATGTAATGATCATATTCATGTATGTATTTGAATGTGATTGAATGATGTGGGGGTGTGTGTATAAAGTATGCCATTGCATACGAGTGCATGTTAAAGAGAAACCACACCATCCAACTAATTTTTGTTGCACAATATAAGATTATAAATAGTTAAAGGTAAATTATAAATTTTACCACTTAACTTTCTTTTTATTTTATTTTGGTCACTAAAATTCAATTTTTTTTAATTTATTTATCAAATATACGATTTACTCCTATTTTAATCATTGTGCCATTAACAAATAATTATGATGAAACATTTTTGCAACCCCTAGTTTCAAATTCCCTTTGATTTCTTATTTTTGTGTGAAAAAACTCCTAGTTTCAAATTATGAAATGCACCCAAAAATTTCTTATTTTTGTGTGTGAAAAAACCCTTAGTTTCAAATTCCCTTTGATTTCTCAATGGTGAAACATTTTCTTCTAAGTTTCAATGGTGGATAGGCGGAGAATGAGAAATGGTATTGTATATCTTGATTCCACGCTTGTTTGATAAATGATAATATATTAGAGTGGTTTGGGGTTTTACGAGTTTTGGATTTAAGGTTGATTTTTAAAGTGATTTAGGTAAACTTTAATCATATAGAATGTTAAGAGACAATGAAACGAGTTCATCGATAACTTGAGTGGTCAGAGAAGATACCGAAAAATAGTAATTACAACACCGACATGACACAAGAATAAAACTGTAAAATTTTTATCGTTTGAGGAAGAATAGAAAATAAGAAAATAAAAAAGAAGGGAAAATGAAGTGTAGTTACCATATCACCATTTCATTTATGATTTAACACATGTAATTTAATGAGTGACACTATTTAATTTATGATTTAAAATTCGAGTGATTAACATAAGAACAAATAAAAAATTTAATGAATAAATTAATTTTTTAAAGTTTAATAACTAAATAAGAGTGAGAAGAAAATTATGTGATGGAATTCGTAATGTATCCAATAACTAATAATTAAATCTACAATTTTCGTCTAGTACATGGACTGATTAAAAGATTTGATCATTATAAAAACCAACAATTGAATTAACCCAAAATTCCAAAGCCAATAATTCAAGCAAAATAATCATAATCAATAACACCCAATTTTTCATCGAAAAACTGTCATTGATATTTTATTTTATTTAGCTTTCATAAAGTCAAAATGAGCTAAGTTTAACTTTGTTTGCACTCTGTTTATCAGTTTAAATAATTCATAAAATAAGTAATTAAATTAAAGACTACTACAGAAAAAAATGGTGAAAGATTGATCCACTAAAGCTCCATGCTTTAAACCTAAACATAACTATCATTCTCTCTCCTCCTCCTCCTCATAAAAGCTCCCTCTAATTTGGTCAATAAATCTAGGTTTTTTATAGCTTTGCTGGTGATCTCTTCTGGGTGTAGTCTTATTGGGAGAAAACAAATTGATTTTTTTTTTTGAATTTGTTTCCTTTTTTGTTTCATTTTTTTGGGTGATTTTAAAACTTAAGGGTTTTATTTGGATGCCAATGCCATTTGTTTATAATTGGGGATTCATAAGTATTCAAAGAAGACTGATTTTCAATGTCTTGGGCTGGCCCTGATGATATCTTTCTCTCCACTTCTCCTTCCACCTACCTTGACAGTAATCTCTCTTGTTCTCCCTCTGTTATATATGCAGCAAATAAGCCAATGCAATTGGATTTCCTTTTATTTTTGCAATCTTTTGAATTCTCTTGTTTTCTGGGGTCCCCCCAGTTTTGCATTAATTTGGGTTCTTTTTAATTTCTTGAATTATACTGTTTGATTCAGTTGATTCCTGTTTGTATATTATGTTGGGTTCTTTCCTTTTGTCAAGTTATATGTTCTTCATTGTCCAGTTTGTTTGTTATTTAGCTTGGAACATTGGAAAAATTAGATTAAAAGATGCATTTTTAAATCTATATAGGATTCTTGATTGGTTTTGTGGGCAAGAGTTTGAGGATATACAAGAGACTTACTTTATGTTTAAAGTTACAAGCTTTCTGATTTGACATCATGGATTTTCATATTTGAAACATCGAATTAAAGTTACAATCTTCGACGCCTTGTTGTAATCCGGAGTTTGTCTTAGTTTTAAAAGGCACGCCTAATGAGCCAGGTGCACGTGGGCGAATAGAAAAACGCCTCCAGAGTAAGAAGCGAGGCGAGAAATCAAAGGCTCATATAGGTGCGCGCTTTTGTAGCCTTTTGAAGAGACGCAAGGCGCACCTCTTTTAGCGCTTTACTGTCCCTCATTCTTTTGTTCAGTTTTGTAGTGGATAAATTGTTCCAACTTCAACGTGACAACTATTTATGGTTTTAAGTGGGGTGATAAACCAAAGGCTCGTATAGGTGCGCGATTTGGTAGCCTTTTAAAGAGGCGCAAGGCGCACCTCTTTGGCGCTTTACTGTCCCTCGTTCTTTTGTTCAGTTTTGTAGTAGATAAATTGTTCTAACTTGAACGTGACAACTATTTATGGTTTTGTGGAGTCAAAGGCATATCTAAGGTCTGACACCTAGCCTTTGCAGCAGTAAGATTCACTGAATCACCGCTTCACACTTTGAATGAAAATTGGATGTTTATAAGCGTCCCTCATTCTTTTGTTCAGCTGTGAGGTGGAGGCAAAGGTAGGTGCAGAGTCTGCCACCTGTCTACGGCCTTTGCCACCTGTCCATAGTTTGATTAAGCCAAGAGATTCTTAAAGAGCCTACAAGGAAAGATTAAAGCATTCGGTTTGTCGAATCATTTGATGCTAAGAACTATTAAATTTATTAGCTTTCTGATAATACCTAATATCTTTAGGAGGTTGAAATAACATTAGAGAAAGAGCAGCTAGAACCTACTCGATTAATAACCCAGTGTGTGGGACTAGAAGGAAGACATGGAACTATAACTAGTGATTCCCTATTAGATTTCTTAGGGAATAAATACTACCTCTGGATCAGTGAAATAAACAAAAATGACAGTCATGAGAACTAAACTGAATATTAGGATATTACTGCGCTTCACCTACAAAAGACGCGCGCCTTCGCCTTGTGTCTCGCGCATAGGATCCAGGGACACTTTGCACCTCAATGCGCCTTTTAAAACCAAGGAGTTTGTGCTGAATAGATTTGTGTAGCTGAATAATGATGACCTATTGCAGATGATGTCTCGAAGAGAGAGTTTACTAGCATAAACTATGCATCTAGTCCTGTTGAATATGGTGTCTCCTGCATTCTCATTTGTGTGCTAGATGTTATCCTTTTATATCGTAGCTCTAAATTGTCCATGATTTTCATGGCTAAAAGAATTGTGTAGTTACAATCTTCGACGCCTTGTTACAATCTGGAGTCGGTGCTGAATAGATTTGTGTAGTTGAATCATGATGATCAATGTTTTCTCCAGGAGAGACTTTACTAGCATAAACCATGCATCTAATCTTGTTGCATACTGTGTCTCCTTCATACTCATTTTGTGTGCTGGATGTTGTTCTTTTATATCGTAATGATATGACTAAAAGAATTGTCTTGTGATTTAGGTCTTTAACGATTGTGGAACATGCCTAAGGACTTTCATTTATTTTGCAGAGAAACTCATTTGTCTTACTGAGAGATGGCCGGAAAGCTACGTTCTTTTGATCAATTTGGTATTTTGTCCCGATCTTGTTCCTTGCTTGAGTTCGTTTCTTCCTTCTTGGTCTCTTTTGTTCTGAATTATATTCATTAATCTGATGTTGTCCCGCGTTCACAGCAATGTTGTTCTAGAAGGAGCTTGTGAGCGAGTTGTTGTTGGCAATTTGTACTGTGATATCCCCTTAGGTCTCTATGCAATCCGTGGGGAGAATGTCGTCTTAATAGGAGTGCTGGTATGCTGTTATACAGAATCCTTTTCGCCATCACCCTTTTTTCTTTTGGATGAATGTGGATTTTTTTGTTTGATGATGTTATTTCTTCTTATGAAATGGTACTTGCTACGCAGGACTCGGAAAAGGAGGAGCTTCCGCCTCATATGACTGCAGTGTCGGCAGCCGAGATAAAAAGGGTAAAAGACTTATCATAATTCTTATTTCATCCTGTGTTCATGCGTGTGTCTCCCATATCTATAAGACTGAACCTATCTAGATTTGGCAAAGAAAGCTGTACTGATTTGCTATTCCAAGGATCAATAAAAGAATTCGAGGAAGATGCACATAGCTTCCTGTACCGTTAACTGAGGCTTGATTGATTTCATTAATATTTACTTTCACAATACGAATAACTCGTCTCTTTACCCTTTTCCAGGCTCAGAAAGCAGAAAGGGAAGCAACATATCTGAAGGGTTCCATGAGAAAAAGAATGGAGTTCCTTGATTTCGATTAATATATCCGCCTGTTTGTTGGAGTTTCATGCTATGTTCGCAAATATTAGTGCGACTATAACCCAAAATTTGAGACGAGGGTGGGATAGCATGAAAGTTCTCACATTACCTCTGTTATTTGAGGAGGAAGAAGCCAAAAGAGGGAGTAGAGGTTCTCGAGCATTCTGAAGACCTTACAATATCTGCTAAAAGCTTGGGGCGAGGAAGTTCAAAATTGCTGGTTTGTTGCTTTCATGCAAGTAAGATAGTTTCCTCAATGTGCACTACGAGTTTTAGGGTTTTAGAAGTGTTCTGCTTATTCTCGATATCGACTCTTATGTTCTCTCTACTTCCTTTCTTGATTCTTACATTTCATTCGAGTAGAAAACCGTTCAAAATTGCTGGTTTGTTGCTTTCGTGCTGCATTTTGTTTTGGCACAATCACTTTTGATTATATTTGTAATCTGTTTAGTTGCGTTTTGTGATCGTTAGATGCACAAGTTATGTTTCATGATCGTTAGATATAAATTTCGTTTGCATTGTTAACAGGACGTGGACAAAGAAAACCAGATTCCGTGTGAACAATAGATGAACTAGATTCCATGTACTCTTCCTTAGTGATCCTTATCCGCAACAAAATCAATCTCTTATAGGTTCACATATTCATAAGAATATCCGAGCCTTGATCGATCCCGGATGTATTTTTGAGTAAGAAATTACATGTTCAAAGGTTCTTAGAGAAGCCAAAATAGACCCACCAATCCACTATACTTCCTATCTAGCGGTGAAAAACTCTCTTTCTGGATGAGCCGACAAGCTTGTCGCTTTGGCTAACCTATCAGCCAAACCAGACATTAAAGTAGTGCCCCTGGTAAGCACGGCATTCCCGAACATCTCTCTTCTCACATCAATGCTACACTCCTGATTGACTTCACCAAAATCTAATGGGGACCAACCCTTTCCATTCCCGCCTGTCTGGCAATTCGTATTGCCTGTTGAGCTCCGAGCTTTTTCTCGACTACTACATATGAAAGCCATTCTTTTATGTCTTGAACGATTCCTCATTTTGCCGATGTCATGAAAACGTATCCCACCTGAGCTAGGATCTTGGTGAGGTAGTCAATTAGGTCCTTGCTTCAAGCCTATGGATGGCGTGAGGCAGCGTGTGTAGCCCTCGTAGATGGAGACCACATGGGTGACTCTTTCACCGGAGTCCATCGTAGCCCTTGCATCGGATGCGATAACATTAGTTAGTTTACGTCTTTTATAAGGATAAAGGTTTTAACATTCGATTTTAGTTAGTTTAAGTCTTTTATAAGGATAAAAGGTTTTAACATTCGATTTACTGGTGGTTCGGTCGCCGGCATAGAGCGGTAAGACTGCTTGAATAGCTATTATATACATGGCCGGGACATCAAAAGCTTCAAACATAGCATGCTTGTATAGCGGACAACCCACGATGGTCGGAAAATTTCTAATCGATATCCAAAAAAAATTAGAATTATAGCAATAATTAATTATTAAAAAATATGTAAAATCAATACCCGAAAACATTCAATTAATAAAAAAGCTTAATATTGTATGAAAACCTTAATACACCTGAAGTAAAATTGTGATCTTAATTTGATCTGATAAATTCGAATTTCTGGCAAAATCAGGATTTTTTCCCCTTCTTGAGAGTAGTTGAATGAAGTCAATTTTTTTTCTTAAGAGATCAGCCCTGCCTCAGGATAACTATGAAAAATACCCTTTATGTATTTATATCTTATTGATTAGATTTTGATGAACAAATATATTAAAAAATTAGTATACAAGATATAAAAAATTATGATATTAAATTAAATTTATTTTAAATTTTATTTCATTAAATTGGTTAATTAACATTCTATTTTATTATTATTTTTATTTTGAAAAATAATTATGTGAAAAATTAGATATTATATTAAATATTAGAGTAAAAATTTTAATTAATTTTTTGAGTTTAATTCAGATTAAAAAATATTATTCTAATGATCTGGTCGAGATCATACATTATTACAATAGTATCGAAACATATTCAATTAACTAAAAACTTGTCTCGTTATTTCTAGTTCGAACCCTTTGATTAATGTCTATAGTTACACACATAAAAGTTGTTCTTTCATGTCAGCAACGATTTCTCATTCTGTTCAGTTTTTAAACTTAAATAGATTTGTTTAGAAAATTTTAACTCAATTAATTTAAAAAAATCACTTTTTTTTAAAGAATACTATATATATGTATATAGTATTTGACAATTTGCTCAGCTTCGACATTAATTAACCTCTTCAATTTTATTAATAACAACATTCAAGTTTAATCGTTGATCAGAGTTACTCTTAGTGCAAGCAACTCCAATTTTGATGATTTTGATCATCTGATCGATTGAGGCCGGACCGCTTGATAACATATCGGGGTCAATTAGCTTTTCGTTATAGTTCTCTGATATCGATGATTGTGCCCATTGCACGACCTCGATCCCACCGTCGCCGTTGTTTAAATAATGCGAAGGATACTTGCCAGTCATAGTCTCGAGGATGACAATGCCGAGACAATAAACATGGGATTTGGGAGAGACGTATTGTTGGTTTTGGAGACATTCTGGGGATCGGTAAGCGAATAATCCTCGAACAACATTGTCGGAGTTTACGAATTGGTGGAAGCCGTAATCGCTTAACAGTGGATCGTATGTTTCGGTCAGAAAAACATTACAGGATTTGAGGTTTGCATGGGGAACAACATAAGTTGCTAACTGAGCGTGGATGTAACCAAGTCTATCGGCGATTCCCTTGATGATCTTCAAACGGTTTTGCCAATTTAATCTTCCATGGATCAATCCTCGATCACCTGCATGAAAAAGGGGTTATTTGCATTCCATGTCCTCAAACCATTTGCACAAATTTTAAATTAGTTCCAAATTTCAATTTTTTTTGGTTAAATTATCATTTTTGGTCCTGTTATACTCAAATTTAATATGTAATGTTTATATTTTAATCGAACATAATTTGTTCATCGACTGTTATAATATCATTAGCAGGGATGAGCATTTGATTCAACTAGATATGTTTATCACGTTAGATTTATTTTATTGACGTTGTAAATTCGAGTTTGAGTTTATATTTTTTTAGGATAAGATCTGATAATGAAAAATATTTAATCTTAATTGATCTTTATATATTTAAGGATAATTGCTATAATACTCTTCTCTTTATATTTCTTCGATAGACCCCTAGTTTAACTAACAAAAATAAGAATCCTATATATTTTTGTTTCAAATTAAGTATGAATTTTAATCCTAAAATAGATCGTATAGAAGTTCTCTAAATTTGAGTTAAATTGGGCAGATCAAGTGATCTTCACCAATTATATTGTATTAATCAAGTAATTTTATTAGGATGGTCTTCAACTTAGGCATTAAGCGTATTTAAGACACATGATCAAATTTTAAATATGTATAAATATCTATTGTAGCTTTGAATCTAGTATGTACACAAAATTTTAAAATTTGATATACCTATTTTAACATGCTATATGCTAAATCCAAACTATAATTTTAAAACGTTAAATGCAATTATTAACTCAAAAAAAAGTATATATAAAAAAGAAGAGTTGAAATGAATCAAAGATGAAGATGAACGTACCAAGAAAGGCGAATAACAAGCTACTACAAGGCATATGTTCTGAAATAATAAGCTTCTCCTCTGTCCTAAAATGAAATGCTAATGGAATCAACTTGAATTCTCCGAATCATTTTATTTCAACTTCGAATTTATCTTTTTCTAAGTTATCCATGTCCCTCATCCTTTTCACCACCAAGACCAATCCGTTGTCAAGCACATCCTTATATGCCAAGCCCAACCGGCTGTTTCCGAGCACTTCCGCATCCGCCTTTATCAAATCTTCAAACCCAAAAGCACCCTTTTCATCCTTCACCATTATCAAATCATCCATTTTATTCTTGTTCACTTTATGTGATTTAATCTTTAATCTCAAACTATTCTTCCGACTGGACCGTCGAATCGAGCTGGACACGACATCAACGTGGGTATTCCTTAAAGTTTTCCTAGAAGTACTTAGGTTCCAAATCACCGTCTATTTCTTTTGTGGTCGAAGCAACACTGACCATCACAAAAAAGAAGACGATGACAAGAGTTACGAAGATGACGATTACGGTGGGAGTGGAAGGTGAAGTAGATTTATCTGAAAGGGGATGGTGATCGCAGCGTTTCTTAAGTTGTTCCCCGCAAAGCCTAACGTTCCCTTCGAATATGAATTTGGACATACTTTCCAGGATGTTCCCTTACAGTTGATTACCCTTTAAATCAAGTGATTTAAGCACATCCGGGTATTTCAACTCCGGATTTTTTCCGGAAAACTGATTCCCTTCTAAATGCAATTCCACCAGGTGGGGTAGTTGCATCAATGAGTTTAGGATATTCCTGGTAAACTTGTTTTCATTCAGCCACGCCTTATTCAATTTTCCCATCGATCCGAAATACGTATGCTTTATCTCGCCCGAAAACTGATTGTTCAATGAGTAAATAGCCTTTAAATCCCCGAGTTTATAAAACTGAGGGATTGGTCCGGTGAAGACGTTCTTCGCCAGACTGATGGTTCTCAAGCTACGAAGTTGGCTAAAACTTCGACATCTATCGAACCTAAGGACCGAGATTCGTCAAATGGAGACCAATGATGGTTTCACCTTGACAAGGTGACGAGTTTGGGATCCAATTTTTCAACTTCGAATCGTCATTCTTCAACGATCTCTTGAAATTGAGGAGGAGGGGAACAACATCTGTTTAGAGTAACAAAGGGTGGAAAGAAGAGCAAGAGTGAGAAGAAGCAAAACACGGGAGCTAATAGCAGTGGACATTGGTGGAACCGAAGGGAGAAACGACGAAAGGAAGCTCCAATTCGAAATGATTATTGTTGTTGCTGCTCCTGTCGATGAATTGTGGGGTTTTGTGATGAGGGTTTGTTTCATTTTGTTGGCTGTGCCAGTGGCTTTGAGTTGTGTTGGATGCTAAAAATAGAGATTCTGGTGGTGGTTACAACGGCGATGCCTGGTTTTTAGCTACTAATGGCGGTGTCGGCTTTAAGTGTATAAAGAAACTTCACTTATATTTCGGACAAGGTTATTACAAGCGGTTAGGTATCTAACAAAGGGTTGATTACATCTTATGTCCTTAATTTTGAATTTGGTTCTATTAAAATAATTATTTAATTTAAGTAATTTAAAATAATATTTTTTTAGTTTTGATCCTACCAAAATTTTATAATTTTATCTTGGTCCAATATGCTAAAATCTCGGGCTCATCCTTGGTTTCCAATTTAAATCTTTTAGTTTATGTTAATTTCGTGGGTTAAAGTCGGTAAGAGTGTATAAGTATACATGCCTCGAGGGAGTTAATAATATGTTCACGTATGGAATAGTGATAATAACTCCTCGTTCTTGTCGAAATTTCAGAGTTTAATCATGAACAATAGGGTCGCTTTGTACC